ATGGATGGAAATAAACTTTCTACTATAGAAATGGTGGCCTTTGAGCCTTTATTCAAACTGTTTAGGGGGGGCCCTAGCCGGAGCTCATGGCCTTCAGCGTGTGTTTTCATGTTTTTTTTTCTTGAGCAGGTGCATTCTGGGAGATGCTTCCGTGTTGTGGCTTGTCTTTGCACTAATTATGTAGCTCAGTCTGGCCTCAAGCCTGAGATGCTGGGGTTAATAGCATGCATCCTCACATCTGGCAGAAGGTCCACCTTTCATGAGACTATTAAAGGTACCCGAGTCCAGCAGGCTCAGGACAGCTGTGGCCATATCCGTTCTGCTCTTTGTAACTCCCTTTTCTCCTCTTTTGCTATTGATCTCTTGAAACTGAGCAACCTCCAATCCATGGGCTTACACATTTGGCGTGCTTTGACCCCTAGCATTGCTGAATGCCACTAGGTTCTGTCTTTTAGATCTCGTTTCGTCCTAAGACAGGACTTCAAGTGTCCCAGGCTGGACTCGGATTTACTGTGTCGCCCGAGGATGACCTTGAACTTCTGAAGCTCTGTTTATTAAACACCTGGGGTTCCTCAAACCCACAAGCCCTTGAAGGCACCATTCTGAGTTCTGATGTGGTGAATCTGACCCAGGACAGTTAGAATCTTTCAGTTTGTCATTTTGTGTCTGGCTTATTCCATGCAGCACGGTGTCCTCAATACCCATCCATATGTCGAGATGTGTGGAAATTCTCTTCCCTTTTAGGGCTACATCTTCTACTATGTGCACATAGCATGTTTTATTTGGCCATTGATCTGTCAACAGACCTTGGATTGCCTCAGCCTCTAGTTGACTGTTAAAATTGCTGCTGAGGACATGAGTGCAGAAATACCTTTCTCATTTAAAAATTTATTTTATTTTGAGACAAGATTATTATTATTATTATTATTATTATTATTGAATTTTTTTTGAGACAGGGTTTCTCTGTGTCACAGCTCTGGTGATCCTGGAACTCCCTTTGCTCTGTAGACCAGGCTAGCTGACCTTAAACTTAGAGATCCACCTGTCTCTACCTCCCAAGTGCTGGGATTAAAGGTGTGCACCACCACCTCGCTGGGGCAAGGTTTTATTATGTACCCCAAATTGGCCTTGAACTCAGGATCCTCCTGCCTCAGCTTCCCAAGTGCCTGTCCTGCTCCTCCTCCTCCACCCTGGCCTTCACACTTGGCTCTGAGAACCTAGCGTGGGACCCCAGGCGCTCTCAACTTCAAGGGTTTTGCTGGCTTTGCCTTCTCTCTGCGTTAACCCACCAGTGGTCTTTATCGATTTATAGTTTTCCGTGGTTTGGATGGAACTGGAAGAGAGAGCAGAGCTCTGGGCATTTGGAAAAGCCTCTTGAAATGCTCTTCATGAGATGCGCGCTGACGGCAATAAGGCAGAATGCTGATGGGCTAACTCTAGCAGTCTTCTCTCTTCTCTCAAAATGATTCGGCCCAGGATATGTGCACACTCTGTCCATGACATCTCTGTGGGTGGAGTCAAACACTCAATTCACACCCAGAGTCGGGTTCCTTGTGTGCAATGTTGAAATCGCCAAAGGACTTCATGTCCATGAAAATGAAGTCTCTTCAACAATGAGGACCCTAAAAGAGACAGACGTGGATCTAATCTACATGGGAAGAAGAAAAAGATAAGATCTCCTGAGTAAATTGAGAGCATGGGGACCTTGGGAGAGGTTTCAAGGGGAGGAGAGAGGCAAGGAGGGGAGCAGAGAAACATGTAGAGCTCAATAAAAATCAATTAAAAAAAGAAAAAAAAGAAACTTTTTGTAATATTCTATTTCATTAATTCTGATCGTTCTACTAAAAAAAGAAAGAAAATGAAGTCTCTTGTTTGTGAGTGTTATAAAAATGATATCGGAGTCTATGTATACTTCCAAATACTTCTTTCAAGAAGCACAATCTTGGGCCTGGAGAGACAGTTAATAGTCCGTAGCTCCTGCAGGGACCTGAGTTTGCTTCCCAGCACCCATTCCTGGGAACTCCCAATACCTGTAACCCCAGTTCTAGGAGATCTGACACCTCCTGGCTCCAGAGACGCTACATGCACATGGTGTACCCACATTCAGGCATATACAGAGACATGAAATAAACCCAGAAATTCTGTTTCTAAAGCACAACTAGACTTGCTCTTTAGAGATGTATTCGTGTTATGCGGTGAGCATCCCTAATCCCTAACATCGAAGCCCAGAATCTGAACCCCAGAACATGAGCCTCACATACGGAAAATTTCATGCCTGGCCCCTGGATGAAGGGGAGCTCACATTATTGCACCGAGCTACCATCAGGCTGTGCACATAAGGTGCACATGAGGTGTAAATGGATTTTGTAAATTATATGTACGAAAATACTCCAATCACGGCACATTTAGAATTCAGTTCCACCATTCTAAGTAAGGGTTGTCCTACCTGTTTAATATTTTCTGACGCTCCTCATTTTGCTGATGTCCTGTGTAAAGACAGTCCTTGGTCACCATGGTTGTTCATTCTCAAACTAATGCTTCTGGCCATGTTGGGGATAGGTTTGTGGTATCTTCACAGAAAGTGAAATTGGGATTATGCTCATGGTCACTTTAGTTTGGGTCAAGCTGTATCCCTGATGGGATCCCTATTTCTTTTCTTTTCTTTCCTTTCTTTTTTTTCTTTTTCTTTTAAGAAAGGTTTATTGAGTACACTACAGGAGGTTCCCAGCTGGGCAGTAACAAGAGTACTGCTTGCTATAACTTCCCACTTTATTTATTTATTTATTTTTGGTTTTTCGAGACAGGGTTTCTCTATGGTTTTGGAGCCTGTCCTGGAACTAGCTCTTGTAGACCAGGCTGGTCTCGAACTCACAGAGATCTGCCTGCCTCTGCCTCCGGGATTAAAGGCGTGTGCCACCACCGCCCGGCATAACTTCCCCCTTTAAACATTTTTCAGAATTTTATATTTACCCCTCTCTCTTCCCCCTCTAATTCCTCCCATGTCTCACCCCCACTGCCTATCAAGTTCATGACTGACATCTCCTATAACTATTGTTTTACACACACACACACACACACACACACACACACACACACACCCTACTGAATCCACTTAGCAGTGCTCATATGTACATGTGTTTAGCCCTTGATTGCCTTTACAATTGGTCAAAATGCAGAGAATAAGTGACCCTGGTGTGTCCAGCCCCTGGTGCGTACACAATGCAATTCCTACACCCAAGCCCCAGGAGACACCAGGAACGTGGTTGTAGAAAGAATTTAAGAGCCAGAAAGGACCAGGACACCTGCTTCTAGGCAGGACAGTGAAGCAGCACCCATCTGATATCAACAACATGGTAGCCTAGACCTGCATAATGAACGACCCCAGCGTCTGGCAAGGTCTCACCCTCCTTAACATCCCCTAAGAGGAGTCTGGGCTAAAGCAATCCCTTCCAGCAGTGCTCTACGGCGATTTGCCAGCAGATGGCGCCCGAGCACCATCGTTTCTAAACGAAGTCACAAACACCAGGCCTGACTAGTTACCGCCCCTTGGTTCCTGGAAAGACAAATACTGAGTGAAAGGAAAGCCTTTGGAGATAATTTACCCAGGGTGCAATCGTTTCTGGATTCACGGTAACGAGAGATTCTTGTGCTGCCCCTAGTGCTGCCCCTAGTCCAACATTTACTGAGGTCCCCCTGAGATCAGCGCCTCCTGTACCCCTTCTCATCCTCACACCCTCCACAGTGGGTGCCTTCCTGTCTGGCCCCCAACACCCCCCCACACACACACACACCCCACACCCCGTCTCTGGTACTCCATCCTAATCTTTCCTATGCTCTTTTTCCGTGAAGGACTCTCCTGGTAATACCTTAGCTGAACTCTTCGGTCACAATATCGTCTGTTTGCTTCACTGCTCCTGTGGATAAGAAAACAACCTGGGGGAGGTTATCGTTGAAAGATTGAAACTGGCGGAACCTGGAGGCAGATTTGACACCTTCTTCCGTAGGTACTGACATTCACGTGTGTACACACATAAAAAATAAAAAGGAGGCCGGACAGTGGGGACTCACGCCTTTAATCACAGCACTTGGGAGGCAGAGGCAGGCAGATCTCAGCGAGTTCGAGGCCTGCCTGGTCTACAGAAAGAGTTCCAGGACAGCCAGGGCTACAATGAAACCCCACCTTGATAAAACAAAACTAAACAAGTAAATAAAAAAATCTTTTTTTAAAAAAAAAGGAAAAAATAACACACAAGGAAGCAGAACTCCCCCGAGACACCTCACTGTTTCATATACACTAATGATCTGTTGTGTTGAGCATTTGGGGTACAAACAAAGATTAAAACACGGTACCTAGCCTCTAGGGCAGAGTTTCTCAACATGTGGGTCAAAACCCCCTTTGGGGTCAAATGACCCTTTACAGGGGTCGCAGATCAGATACCTTGCATATCAGATATTCACACTGCAATTCATAACAGTAGCAAAATTACAGTTATGAAGTAGCAATGATACACATTCTGTGGTTGCGGGTCGCCGCAACATGAGAAACTGTAGTGAAAGGTCGCAGCATTAGGAGGATTGAGAGTCATTTTTCTAGAGCAACAGTAAGGAAAGATGAGAAACCAACTTCCAAGGAGGAGGACCTGTGACCTGCCTGAATTTCCAGGAAAAGCTTTCCCAGGAACAACCCAGGTTCTGTTCCCAGCGCCCACGTGCTGATCCACAACCACCTGTAACTCCAGTTTCAGGGGGTCCCACACCCTCTGCTGGCTCTGAGGTTGGCCAAACTTGCTCGGGAACTTTCCCTATGCAGAAGTCCCTGCTCCCTTGTCCATGGCCTTAAGCCTGGGTGGAATAAAACTTAGTGGTAGAATGCTTGCCTAGCACGTGTGGGTTCTGCCCCCAGCACATATATCACCCCCTAGCACCAAGGAAACCCTTAAACCCGTGTTTACGCATTGCAGGAACATTCTGGACAGGCTCCTCCCAGGGGCATTTAACCCAGCTCGGCTGGTGTTGCACAAGGCTAGCCTGTGTGTTCAGCAAATACAAGCGTGCGAGGAAGAGTCGGTGCCACTCACTGGAAGAGAGCAGAATCTCAGCCATGGACATGGAGAAGGTCAACTCCATGGGCTTCGGTGAATTTGTGGATGTGTTTGGGAACGTCATTGAAAAATGTCCTCTGGTCGCAGCTGCCGTTTGGTCCCAGCGTCCATTCTCTGGCTCGGAAGACTTGGAAAAACACTTTTTTGATTTTATCGATGCTCTTCCAAGGTCAGGTAAGACTTCCGGCCCTTGAGCTCACAAAGCGATTTCCAATATTGTATAGAAAAATATTTTAGATTGGTTTAGCCCTGTTGCTTATACTTACAGTTATCTAGCTGGTTTTATTGGAAGGGTTAGCCTTTCAAGGTGCTAGGCTCTAAGTAGAGTCAAGAGTGTGTCCGGTAAGACAGCGTGGCGAACATTGGAACCTGGAGGTCACGAGTGGGAACCGGGCAAAGGCCTTGGTGTGTTAGAAGCCAAAGGGCAGTCTGAGACAGGCCCCTTTCAGCCGCCCAGGGTCCACCTTGGCAGTGCTCTGGGTACAAAAGAGAGGGCAGCGAATATATCTCAGGGACCTCCAAGGGGAGTGCAAAACTGGCTCCTTCACAAGAGAAAGTCAGTTTGGACCAGACAAAGAAAGTACTTGTACTCAGATCCAAGGCTCTGTTGGGGGGAAGAAGAAATGCTTAAGCAAGTGGTGTGTTCGTGGAAGAGAGAAAGCCCTGAAGCATTTGGGGCCGTGAGGTGGGGAGAAGAGAAAGTAGGGGTTCAGACTGATTGGTACCCAAAAAGCACAGAGGCCAAAGGCATGCAGTCCTTGCTCGCGGGCTATTTGGGTTCCAGAATAAGCCAGACATGCCCTTGGGGACTTGAGGCAGGAGGGTGACCCTGTGGTCTCACAAAGGGACAGGCACACACTGCTGCCTTCAGGACAACTGCGGTGGCCAGTGACTTCCCCTCCTCACCTGGACGTCCTCATAAGAGAACTCAGAGTTCTCAGCAGGTAAGAGCACTGGCTGCTCTCCCAGGGGCCTAGAGGCCAAGTCTCAGCACCAACACAGCTGTCACAAATGCCTCTGAATGGAAAAACCTCATGTCCTCTTCTGGCCTCGGTGGCCATCAGGAACGCATGTGGTGCACAGACTATGCAGGCAAACCCAAAAATCTAAGGGTGCGTCTATCTCAAACGGAAGCCTGGTGGCCCTAGCCCATAATCCCAGTACTCACTGAGCTGCATTCAATCCTTCCACATTGTTTCTAACCAACAACAGCTAGTAACTCAATGTCTTTTAAGGCTCCGTTTTTAAAATGAATCCAACATAATTTTTAAAATTTATTTCCTTATGTAACTATGCGTGTGACAGAGTGTATCTCTGTGCGCCTCGTGAATGCAGGTGTCTGTGGAGCCCGAAGTAGGTATCAGAGCCCCTGGAACTGGAGTTATGGGCCATTGTGAACCACCTGATGTGGGTGCTGGGAACTGAACCCAGGTCTTCTGCAAGAGTAGCCAGTGCTCTTATCTACGGAGCCATCTCTTGACCCCAATCTAAAGGTTTTTGAAGAAAATGACCAAACTAGAAGTTAATCCCATGACTTCTGGAGGATTTTCTAGATAATCTAAAAACAAAATTAGAAAGGTGTGCATGTGTGTGTATGCGTGTGCATGTGTGTGTATGCGTGTGTGTGCACTCTCACAAACATGCACATGTGCTGTGTGTGGTATATGTCTGTGTGCACACACGTGGGGTGGGTACTCACATAGAGGAGAACTTCAGGTATCTTCCCCTTTCTCTCGGCTTTTTCCCTTTGGAACAGGGTCTCTCACTGAACCCAAAGTTTGTTTTAGCCAGAATGACCTGCAAGCCTTGGAAGAATCTGCCTGTACCCGCCTTCAACACTGGAATAGCCAGCCAAGCAAGGCTTTTGACCGGGGTGCTGGAGACTCAAGTTCTCACATCCCTGTGCGATCTTTTGCCTTTGGACAACTAGGATCTTTGCCGTTTAAGGGTAGAAATGACCTAAAGGGAGTGCCTTACCGTATGTCTCTGTTGCTGTAACAATTTTGGGGTTGAAAGGGTTTGTATGAATTACACTTCCACATCACAGTCCATGTGGAGGGAATTCAGAGCAAGGAGCTCAAGGCAGGAATCTGGAGGCAGAAACTGAAGCAGAGACCACGGAGGAACACTGTTTATGTGCTTGCTGTCTCTGCTTCTCTCCGCTTCCTTCCTTATCCAGTTCAAGCCCAGCTGCCTAAGGATGGCACCACCCACAGTGGGCTGGGCCCTCCCTCATCAATTATCAATTAAGAAAATGCCCCACAAGCCAGGCAGTGGTGGTGCATACCTTTAATCCCAGAAGACAGAAGCAGGTGGATCTCTGTGAGTTTGTGACCAGCCTGGTCTACAGCAAGTTCCTGGATAGTCAGGGCTACAAAGAGAAACCCCATCTTGAAAAACCAAAGAAGAAATGAGAAGAAAAGAAAGAAGAGAAAGAAAAAGTGCCCGGCAGACTTGGCCACAGACTGATCTAATAGAAGTAATTCTTTGATTAAAGTTTCCTTTTCACAGATGACGAGTTAGTTTGTGTCAAAGTGATAAAAATGAAGTATCACGTGGATAAGGGGTGGGGGTGGATGAAACACTGTTATTCCTAGAGAAGGGTCTGTTTGGATTATACTTTTTAAGTAATTTATTTATTTTTGTTTTATACTCATTTGTTGTTTTGCCTGAATGTACTTCTGTGTGAGGGTGTCAGATCTTGAAGTTACAGACAGTTGTTAGCTGCCATGTGGGTGCTGGGTCCTCTGGAATTGAACCCAGGTTCTCTGGAAGAGCAGCCAGTGCTCTTCTGGACCATCTCTCCATCCTCATGGGTTAGCTTTTAAAAGGAAGGAATGGAGGGAAGGAAGAAGGGGGGAAGGGAGGGAAAAAGAAAGAAAGAAAGAGAAAAAGAAAAAACTTTCTTCCTTGGTCAGAAAACTGGATTTTTAGAGTAAAAGTGAGGTTGCCCTCTCCTTTAAGTTAAACTATGATGTATAGTGTCCACTAGATGGCAGTAGAGGATTACTATTGGGCCCAAGCCTCACCTAATTCAGCACGTCTAACCTATCAGCTCTCATAGTCCTAAGCATAGGTGGCAGCTGTGGGAAAGGAAAGGAAGGGAGGTTGAAACCAAAGGCGCTCCTAGGCTAGGGAAATGAACCCCACCTAAGGCTGTGGGGTCCAGCTCCAGTGCCAACCCAAACCTACAGCAATAAGCCCCCCCCTCTCTCCCTCCCTCCCTCCCTCTCTCTCTCCAGTCTCTGCCAGTTTCTCTCCATCCTTGTCTCTCCATCTCTATTTGTGTCTCTCTCTTCTCTGTCTTTGTCTCTAGCACCCTCCACCGTGTGTGTGTGTGTGTGTGTGTGTGTGTGTGCGCACACGCGCAAGCGAGCGCGCGCCCATGTGCAATAACTTTGCCATACCAATACAAGCTGTTTGTACTGTGGTTGGGGTAGTGGAGACGGTGAGACCTGCTGGCTGTCCAGGAGAGAGAGCTAAAGTCAACAAGATTTAGGTAGGTGGGTTTGCCAGAGGGAGATCAAAATCAATAAATGCTAAAGATAACCCCTCAGTACCTTGTCTGAGTGGCCGTGTGGGGGTGCTATAATTTTCTGGGGGTACAGAAGACAAAAAGCAAAAAATTGGGATCTTGTTAGTTCTGGTCCTAATAAGAATTAAAATGAAGATGCTGTATGTACTACTGGATAAGAGAAAGGGAACATGGTGAAGCTAAGGACAAACTAGATCTTGGGGTCATGAAAGAACTCACTGCACTTAAAACTGCATGGCTGACTGGGGGTGTGGCTCAGGGGCAGAGTGTGTGCTTAACAAGCAGGGGAACCTGAGGGTGACCCCTGGCCTGACACTATAAAGATTTAAACATGGACCCGATGGTGGGGCAGGAGAGGGAGTTCGGTTTGTTGGTAGAGAGGTTGTCTAGGATGTGGAAGCCTTGGGTTTGGTTCCCAGGACACAGCACAGTCCAGACACAAAGGCTGTATGCCCAGCACGTGGGACATGGACGCAGGAAGGTTATCCTCAGCCACATATGGATTCTGAAGCCAGCCTGGACTACAAGAAACCCTGTCTCTGAAGAAAAAATTAACAGAACAAAAGAAAACCCCTAGACAAGAACACTTAACTCTGTAAATAAGAAAGGGAGAAGCGAGTCCCGCCCCTTTTAGTGCTAACATCTGGGCTGAGCCACACAAGGACAGGCACCTGAAGCAGGAGGGATGCCAGGGTCTGGCCCATGGGCTCAGGCTAGACTGCTGTTCTTTGATGAGGGCAGATTGGTTGTGGGAGGGGTCAGAGACTTGATAGAGTGACCTGGATGGAGAAGCGCAGAAGTAAACAACGTGAAAGTGAGCCGGCCAGAGAAATAAGAAAAAAGTGGTGGGGAGCCAGGAGCTCCATGGGGGCTCTAAATCTGCCTTTGGGAAGCATGGTTCTCAGTGGCGCCCCACTGTGGAATAAGGAGGGTGCAGAAAGCTATGCATGACTTGTAGATGTGACATCTGAGAAGGAAAGTCACAAGTAAACTCAAGACACCAAAACCAGGAGCTGAAGAGATGGCTCAGTGATTAAGAACACTTACAGCCCTTGCATGGGATCCCAGTTCAGTTCCCAGCACCTCGAGTGACCAAAAACCACCTGGAAATCTTGTTCCATGGGATCAGATGTCTCTTGCCTGCAAGGGCATCCACAAGTATGTAACACACAAGCACGCACACAAGCGCGCACACACATACACATATACAACTAAAAACAAACCACAGGTGGAAACGCTGTGGACTGACCCCAGAGCATGCGCAATAAAGCTACTGGAGCCCCCGGGGCAAGGGGACCTAGAGGCTGCCTTGAAACTGAATGAACAAGAGAGAAGCGGTTGGGTGTGTGCATGGCACCCACATGTATGTCTCTCTCTCTCTCTCTCTCTCTCTCTCTCTCACACACACACAATTCAAAACAAAGAAACCACATGTGAAATTCAGTGTGGGTAATTCATGTAATTCCAGCACTTGGGAGGAAGACCAGGCAAACAAGGGCATTGCCTTGGCAAAATGAGACTCTGTCACCAAAGGAACACTGTGGCTAGAGAAGCAGCTCAGAGGTTAATAGCAAATGCTGCTCTTGCTGAGGAGCTGAGTTCTGTCTGTTCCCAGTATCCACATCAGAGCTCACAACCAATCACCAGCTCCAGGGGATGGATGCCTCAATAGCTGGCAAGCGCGCATGCTTCTGGGCACACACTCCCGTGTAAACACACGAAAATTTAAAAATAAATATCTTCAGAAGGTCTCCTTTTGGGGCTGGTGAGATGGCTCAGTGGTTAAGAGCACTGACTGCTCCTCCGGAGGACCTGGGTTCAATTCCCAGCACCCACATGGCAGCTCACAGCTGTCTGTAACTCCAGTTCAAGAGAATCTGACATCGTTATACCAATGCACATGAAATAAAGTTAAATAAAGTTTAAAAAAATCATACTATAAAAATAAATAACAGGTCTCCTTTTAAAATAACTCTGTGTGTGTGTGTGTGTGTGTGTGTGTGTATGTATGTAAGAACACGGGTGAAGGAGTTGGTCTTTACTAGATGACATAAGACCATCCCTTGTGCCAGGAGTGGGGGGCGCATGACTGGTGTAGACAGAGGGGCACAGAAGAGCCACAATGGGTTTCTAGGCAGTTGCTGCTTGCTCAGAGGGCACTGTTGTCAGCCCTACCCTTCTCTGGACTCTCAGCAAGTCTTCTTGGTGCGGTTGCCCTCTGTTCCCAGTGACCAATACCTACCTGCTCCTCGCCTCGTCCTGACACCCAGTGACACAGCTGGGGAAATCTGAGTTTCCATGAGATGTTATGAAACAAATGAGGGTGCCAGAGACTGCCCGCACTGGGCCACCCACATAGGGGAGACTCCGGAATGCGAGCTGTCTTCCAGTCTCCAGCCTCCTTTTGGGATTAATGGCCTCAGCTGTGGGTACCTTGAAGGAGATACAGTGCAGATGGGAACTAGGGAGGCCCTTGCTGTATATCCGTAGGCAGATGGGCGCTAGCCTCTGCAGTACCCAAGGGACCAGTGATTTGGAGCAGCTGAGGAGGGGACCGTGACTGGGCAAGTCAGCCAGCTTTATTTCTTCTGGTAGGCTACCATTCCAGTTCTTTATTGTCTGTGCCGCTGAAAGGCGTGTGTGTGTGTGTGTGTGTGTGTGTGTGTGTGTGTGGTGTGTGTGTGTGTGTACGCGCGCGCGCGCGTGTGTGTGTGTGTGGTGTGTGTGTGTGTGTGTGTGTGTGTGTAAATTTCGGTTCCGCTAATTTAGCGTAATTTTCTCCTGCCCTTTGCCCTACTCTATTCTAGGCCTCTTTTCTCTTCCCCCTTCTTGTCTTCTCTGCAAGAGTGGCAAACACATCTCACTCCTAGGCAAACATTAACTCAGGCGATGCTTTCAAGAGGGGAAGATAAACCTAGGAGGAGTGAGAAGTGAGGTGTAAGGGCAAGAAGGTTTGGGGGGTGGCGCTGCTAGGCAGCCCGCACCCGGTCCACGCATGCGCAACAGCAGGTTCCTGGGGTGGGGGGAGACTTCCCACTCCGGTGAAGCCCACCAATAACTGCATCGATGGCAGCTCGGCAGCTCGAACTGACCTGGGAGCACACGCAGTAAAGCAATTGGATCCTCCTGGGAGAGGTGGCCCAGAGGCTGCTTGTTTTAACTCTAACAAGAGAGGATCAATGTGGGTGCGCAGTCTTTTAGTAGCGTAAATGTGCAGCCAAGGCTGTCTGCCCATCCTGGGATTGGATGGATGTGGGGAGAACCTGTCCTGAGTGGCGTGGCAACCACCAGCCCTCTGGCCTCCCAGGTGGGAAATGTAACACACACGTTTTCGCACCACACGGAAAGCTCTCTCGACTGCAGAAGAGAGAACTACTCGGGAGTGGTGGTCTAGAATTAGGATACCCATGACGGGGAGGGGGCAAGAATGGAACTGGTGACCAACTCCTCTTAGCCTTGCAGAGACAGGCAAGTCATTACAGGGGGCTGTGGGCTTAGAGGGGGCTGTGGGCTTAAAGCGAACTGTGTGCAGGTGCGCAGCTCAGTGACCTTGGGCAGATGAACTGACGTTTGTTTTCTGAGCCTTTGCTCGATATTCTTTTCTAAAATGGATTTAATTTTTATTTATGTGGGTGTGATTGTATGACACTCATTTGTGCGCCGCGGTGCCCAAGGAGGCCAGAAGAAATTGTCTGATCCCTGGAGCTGGAGTTCCGTATACAGAACGCAGGCCACGGATTTGCTTTGGTGCCCGCTTTACTTTCCATCCTGTTATGGAGGCGGGGTGGGGGTAACTTTTGGGGAAGGGGAGGCTGCACCATATTTAAAGGGGGTTTTCCTCTCTGTGAGTATTGAGATACAACTTACTAAAGGGTGTTTTAATCAGTTCCCATTTCCAACAAAGCTGCACCTATTCCCACTGCCAAAGGGAGATAGACACCTACCTGCTTTGTGGAATAGAAAGGCGGCTGCATCTCATAGTTCCGTTTTCCTGGACTTGCTATGAACATGAACTGCTTGTGCGTTAGGTGCCAGGGTATGGGGAAATGAGTTATCTTTAGTTCTCCATAATCGGTAAATTAGGTGTCACTCTCCTTCTTTTACGGAGGGCCGCCCTTCTGGGCACATTTGAGATCTTGTCTAGCCAGGGAATTTCAGTTCGCGTTCTTCACAGTGCTTAAACGACACGACCTGCCAGGACGGCCGGGAGTCCCCTTAAATTAGAACCCCGGGCGTCACAGCTAGACTTTCCCAAAGCGAGAGGCCTAGAAGAACGAGAGCTTCCGCCCACGCGGGCTCTTTTGGTATCTGAAGTCAGACAGAGAAGGAGTAACAACACAACCCCAGAGTGAGTGATTTTAATTAAAGAAACAAAACAAACAAAAAACCAAAACAATAATAAAAAGGCAAGCCGCTTTCATCAAGAGCGGAAGGATTTCGATGAAATGGGATTCTTTTCGGTTAGCCCTCAAGGTTCATTGACTGTTTCATCCCAGAGACCCAGAACTCACACTTAGAGTCACAAAATTTAGGCATTTATTTGCAAAGCCCCTGGACCCACTCCGCTCCAGCCTGTTCTTCTTTGAGGCAGAACGAAACTCATTCCAGGACTTTTGGCGGAAGTCTTCAGGCCTTCGCATCCGGCTCCTTTTCAACATCAAAGCCCCCCTGAGAGCAAAGGACTTTGAAAAGATAGGAGTAGCTAGGACTTCTTATCGCTTCCCAGCTCTCCCAGAGCAGGTCGTAAATTCCCAGNTCTCCCTCCCTCCCTCCCTCTCCTCCCTCTCCTCCCTCTCCCTCTCTCCGCCCCCCCCTCCAGTCCAGGATCCCCCCCCAAGGTCTGAAAGGCCAAACCTGTCACTCGCGCCCCGCCCCCGGGTCCTGGCGGGGGACGGAGGGACCCGCATCCCGTTATTGGAGAGGGACACCACTATCCAGGGACCCAGTTTGGCTTTCTGAAGTGCAGGGAGTAACCCTCTGCCGGTGTGTGTCTGTGCTTCTCTCCGCAGGCCAGGAGGGCATCCTACGTTGTCACCCGGACCTAGCGGGCCGAGATCTGCAGCAGGGCACGCTCACCGCCGAGTCGCGGCGGGAGCAGAGCCAAGCGGGCCTCACCAGCCTGGACACAGACGACCGGCTGCGGCTGCAGCAGCTCAACGCGCTGTACCGCGAGCGCTTCGGTTTTCCATTCGTGCTAGCTGCGCGCCTGAGCGACTGCGCCGCAGTGCCCCGGGAGCTAGCCCGCCGGCTGCATTGCCAGCCCGAGTCCGAGCTGTGCACTGCCCTGGGCGAGGTGAAGAAGATCTGCCACTTGCGCCTGGCGGATTTGCTAGGCGCCGGTCCCGCCAGTGTGGAACCGCAGCGGGACTGGGGATCCGAACGCCAGCAGGATGCGCCACAAAGGGAACTTGGCGCAGCACACCCTTCGCCGGAGGTTGGCTCCGGCCTGGAAGGACAATCCTCTCACCCACACAAAGCAAGTGGAGAACTGAAGCAATCACACGAGCAATGAATGCATCCTTTGTGCACTCATCCACATGAACACGCGTCGCCAAAATATGTCAAAATTCTAGAGAGTTTAGCGCTTTGCCCCGGATTTATCCAGATCACTGCTTCAATTCTCCATTCGCCTTGCGGTCTGCCGACACTACAGCTTTAGCGAATTGAAAGCTCCCATCTGGCTCCCCATTCTCTCCTGCTAAGCAGGAACAAGCAATGCAAAAGGCACTGAAAGGGGAGTCTTGTATTCCATAGTGATTTTTCTTTTCCCACTTCATTTGATTTACCTGATATTTACACGTGAGCAGAAGCGACTGTCTCACTCTGAGACACTCATGAAAGCTGAAGTTGGGAGGGGGGAATTAAAACATTGGTTTTGGTCCCAGGTGATCATCTAGCAGTGGGAGCTGAGTTCTCTTACTCAACTACCAACTTGGGGACTATGCTCTGCAGAGATCAGTGTGTGTGTGTGTGTGTGTGTGTGTGTGTGTGTGCCCAAGTTGGAAAGTTTTGATGGTCAGGAGCCAGTGTCACCCTTGTCCCTCCAAAAGGTCAGCCTTTGGTGGTGGACTGGACAGCCCTACGAGCTACCCAATATTAAAATAACAATACTCATTGGACAGCCATGGGTGTTGTGGAGCCCTGGATGAAGATGGTATCCATAGTGCTGGTAATAGGGGGGTAGAGATGATGCAGATAGAAATCTATAGAACAAGTCAGATTTGGGAACCTGGAGATCCAGAGTCAGTCAGCCTGCTGTGGTCTCTGAAGAAGTGACATCACCAGCAGGAGACGCAGTCACAACATCCCCCCTCCCCCCCCCCCCCTCGACCACCAGAGAGAGAGAGAGAGAGAGAGAGAGAGAGAGAGAGAGAGAGAGAGGGGAGGGGAGTTAATGAGTCCCAAGAATACTACTTAGGCTTCTCTTGGTCCAGAGAAAACACAATCATTCATGACTTCCGCAACAAGACAGGTGGAAGCACAGTTGATTTTCATTAGCAAACGACCAAATAAAACAAAATGTACTCTCCCCCTTTTCCAGAACTTTGGGTTCTGGGGGTCCACAGAAATAATCCCCTCCAGGAGCACTCAGAATCAAAGGAAAGGAACCTGTTACCTCTTCTGTCACCTCATCTATGTCCCTGAGCAGTGTGGGCAAGAGCAACTGGGGATGAAGGAGTGGATGCCTTGGAAGGCGCCTGCTATCAGCATCCTATGGTGGGCCACCTGGGGGACAGGAGCTCCAAGCCAAAGACTCAAAATCCACTACACTCAAAGCTTTCTGTGTAGCCCTGGGGTAAACCCAACCCTTAGATAAGGGCCCTAAAATGTAGCATCCACCCTCTTTATGTAAATTTGATAAACCGAAGATGCAGAGAATCCAACGGGGCAAGATTCCCAGGGCTATTTTTAGAATCATAGATGCAATCTGTGCTTCTCGGGAACGACCGGGTCTAACTAGTGACATAACCGCATTGCAGCCCTCAAGAGATTATCCAGTCTTTTACCCCTGAGGGAAAGGGCACGGGTTGGGCAGTTGCTGGCGTCCCTTTGGAAGGAGGTGGAGGTGAGGTGACCAGAGAGGGCTACTCAAGGACTCTTCCCAGCCTGGAGGCCAGGGCTGGACGTGCGACGCAGGAAGAGAGGGAGCTGGGAAAGAACGGTTGCCGCACCTGAGGGCCCTTTCTGGGGAGCCCAGTGTCAAAGCCCCCCTCCCTCCCTCCGCCCCAGGCCCGAGGCTGGTGGCGGGTGACCGGTGCTGCAGAGAGGTGGCTCGCAGTTTCCTTTCTTCGTGTCTGGGCTCCAACAGTGGCAAGCCTGTGCCTGGCGCTGCCCCTTGTTCCTTCCCCTCTCTGGTGCGCAGCATGCGGGAAACCAGCCCGCGCCGCAGGCACCTCAAGGTGCTTGCTCCGTCGGGCAGACTCAGCGAACACCAGGAGGGCGCAGGGACAGCTGGTTTGCATTTGGTGGGAACAATATTTTACTTACGAATTCGTCAAGGAAAAAAAAAGATTGAGAATGAAAAAGAACCAGACAGCCCAAGGATTCGAGGACTGGGTGTTTTGACTCCAGTAGGTAACAGTTCACCACAGGGTATACACACACACACACACACACACACACACACACACACGGGGGGGGGAGTGCTTCGTTCTTCACCTCCCCCACAGTTACAGCCCCTCACAAAAACATCCAAGCCCAGCAGGGTACCTCAGCCCAAGGCTCAGCCTGGAAATCAGGAGCCCATTTCTGAGCTAGTCGCTCACCTTTGTAACTGGGGAGTGTAGATGGTTAAAAAAAAAAAAAACTAAAAAACGTATTCTGTGCCTTGGGCTTTAAAGAAGCTGGTATTTAGTGAGGGGAGGAGCGGGGAAGAGACTTATTCGATGCCTAACCTTTGTTCGTTTTTTTTGAAGAGACACCTTTCCAATTGAGTCACAGAATGTCAGTTGCGGTATTAAAAAATGGAGATTTCCCCCGCCCCTAGAAAGTGTTTACTACGAGACAAGAGTGGATGGAGACCTTTGCAGTCAGTCGGAGAAACTAGAATAGAACTTCTGGGGGAATGTATTCCATAACTAGGAAGACTGAAGAAAGCAGATGCTCCCCAGAGAAAGCAGTCTGGAATGTGGGTCAGCATTGTAGCAATGCAGAGCCTGACTGCTCCGGCACTGTGGTGCCTATAGGGCGGGGAGTTCTCAGTCCTTGATCCTGATAGTTGGTTTTGTACTGGGGATGTTTCCAGGGTGGCACCAACAGACATAGTAATAATTAACGTCTGTACAGACTGCTGCATGGCAAAGATCAGACATATCGCTGCAGATCTGAGCATAGCTGTGAGACCTTGGGAGGATCTCCAGTCCTCTCTGGTCTTTGTAAAATGGCAACTTGTGTAGATTCTAAGTGTCACTGCCACTGCCACCACCACCACC